TCTGTGGGACTGTTATCTGCAATGGGGCACGAATCTCCTGCATGTACTTTCTACAGCCTTCCTCAATCTTACCAATAGGACCTTTCACTTAGCTTAGCTAAGGTTTTTGTTTTTTTGTTTTTGGTTTTTTTTTTGGAAATGTATGGACTCCCAGTACAGTCCAGAATGTCAATTTTAAAATAATAAAAAATATTATTTTCCCACTCTGGACATTACTTAACAAGGTTCTCCACAGGTTGTTTGCATGCGTTGTCATTTCTAGGCAGCAATTGATCTTTAGCTCCAAACTGACTCACCATGGTCAGAGTGCATTTCCCTTGGTGCTTGAAAGATACACATTGTTGTACTCCAGAGGTATGTCTTGTTTGAGGGCAATTGGTTTTCCCAGATCATTTTCCAGCTACTGAGATGCTTTCTGGGAAGCATCTTCCAGCACTGGTTGGCTGTAAGAGAAGAAACAAGCATCTCTTACTCTGCATCCATCCTCTTGAAGGATCAGCTCTTCCATTTCCCACCCGTGACATCGCTTGCATTTAGCTCCAGAGTTCCTGTCTGTAAGCATCACCACTGGATGCCTAGATGTGTTCAGTGTGTGGCTGCAAAGCTGCTATTTTTCTTAATGCTTGAACAAATTGCATTTGGGATGCACGATCTGCCCTTACCTCCAGTGCAACCACTAATACAACTTACATGCAAGCTGAACCACGAAGTGCACCGGTTGAAACTGCTAAAACTCATTGTGTTGGCCACTGAAATGCTCTCCTTCTGTCACCCTACCTGTGCAAAGGTTTTGCAATGTTAACAAATCTACAAACAAACCTTCCATAACATGAGCAGAGTCCTACCAACCCGCACCTCCGTGAATGGCAGGGGAGTGGGCCAGCTCTACGAAGTCTCGGGGCTTTTTTTTGTTTGTTTCAGTGGAAATTCCCCATCGCCAGCAGTGTAACAGAGGTAACTGGCGGTCTTTTGGAACAGCTCCCTTTCCTTTGGGACCAGTTACAGGCTGCCAGCCTTGAGCTTATCTCCAGCCATGTGTAACTGCACTTACCACTTCTCGTTCAAAGGTCTCAGCGTGCACCCATAATTAGCCCAAGTGCAGCAGGCCTCCCGAAAGGCTGAGGCCACTCGAGGCCTCCTGATGGCGTGCTGTGCCATCCCTTCATCAGAGCAGCCAAGCTGGCGCTTTATGTAAGCCCCCAACATCACTGAATCACCAGCTGATCAGGCTGTGCTGAGGAAGCAATTTTCCCTGACCTCCAGCTCCGCTTCTGCCTGCCAATACACAGCTTTCTGCTGCTTTGGGAATGCCCAAACTGAACCCAGCAGCAGCATCCAAGAGCTCATCATTCACAGACACAGCTTCTCTGCAGTGAATTCAGGGGGTGGCTGTTTCACTTGTTCCTTGTTGCTGCAAAGCACCCAGCAGGCAGATGGGATCATTTATATTTCACATCCACAGGATCTGACCCACAGGGGTCTTGAGGCTTCAGATCTCTCACAGCCGTGCTGGAAGCAGCCCTGGGCTGTAACCATCTTTAATTGTAATATTCCAGGAAGTGGGACGGCTTTTCACTCCAGACCAGCTGCCTGCCCAGTCAAAGCACAACTCCAAGGAGAATTTCCAAATTGATGGTGCAAGGTGCACCGGGGTACCCCCCCATCACACATTATGGGGTACCCCTGAGGTGGGTAGGTAGCAGCAGCCCGCCCACCCTCACACCTGACTTTTTGCTCCAGTGCCTGTTTACCAGGCTGACTTCCCCAGGTCTGGATATATCCACGCTCTCCTGTCACCACCAGCCACCTTGGGCTGACCAGCTCAACCAGTATCAGCCCAATTGCCACTCTACTTTGCCTAGTTTGGTGGGGTTTGGGACATTTCTGCTAATATCATCCTTTCCACATGGCCTAGGAGTGCCTCTGTGATCAGCCTCTCCCTTTTTTTTTTTAAAGTTTAGTCCAATAATGGATCCAGATCTCAGCTCTCCTAGGCTGGACCCAGCCTCATTTCCACAGCCGGTTGGAGGCCTTCATCCACTGCTGCACATCATGTTTTCACTCTCTGCCTGACTTTCCCACATCAGGTTTATGTCTGCCTCAGAATTCAGCTGTGTGTTTGCATGGCTGCTTTCTCCCTTATTTTACAGACGTCAGGTACGTGTGTGGCACTGAACTGACTGTGTGAACCACAGGGCTGCACTGGCAGGACTGACCATCTCACTGGCCCCATGCTCTGCTCAACCAGAGATGTAAGCTCTGGAGTGCCGCTGCCTCTCACAGAGTCTTTGGCTTCCCATTACACACAGATGTCACCTCTGGCTCAGGAAGCTTCTGTACCACAAGCCGCTGGGCTGGAGAGTTTCATTACATGCATGCCCTGTTCCCCAGGCCTCTCCTACCAGGCTTCAGGGCAGACAGACCTTCCAGCTCACCTCAGGTTTTTATATGTTCTCATGTCATTTTTTTCCCCTCGGTCTCAGTCTGCTTATCCCATAATTGAAAATCTATGAGTAGGTCGACATTCAATGTACAGTGGCAGTCTTCATTACTACCTTGTTACTCAAGCAAAGTGATGCAGATCCTCTCCTGGTTCAGCTAGAATCTCTTTTCTCCCCGTTTTGTAGCACTTGGTTGACTAGCTTTCTAATTTCATGTCTGATTCCGTGTCACACACCCAGTCTAGACAATTCAATCTCTTTTTTCCTTTTCTTCCCTGAAGGCGAGCATCCAATGCCATAAGAGCTGGAGCAATCAAGCTGGCCCCTAGGCACCGCACCTCAGAGGCCTTCCCTCACGCTGTGGTTATGGACTGCACTGAACAAACCTCCCAAATTATTCTCCAAAAGATGGCATTCGCACAGACCCAGCAGGGACAGGCAGTCTGATTCCTTCTTCCCAGACTGCAAATGGTGGTGAACGTTTGGTGTTAGGTGGTGTTCTGGCCAGCCCTTGTCTCCAGCAGGAGGCTGTTTTTTCCTGTGGTGTCCTACAAGCCTTTGATTTCCTTTTCTGAGTGATTTTTCAGTGTCTTAACTCTTTGCTGTGGCTCGCCCTGGCTCCTAAGTTGGCCAAAGCTTTCCTTGTGCTTCATATTTTCTGGAAAGCATTTTTGTCCACAATGGTCATGCTGCTGATCACCTCTTTGATCCATCTTGCCATTTTAAACTGGGAACCTTCCAGGAGGATTTTGCACTCTCTGGACACTGAAGCCTTTTATCCTTGCCTGCAGGTGACCTCTTATAAACTTCTCTTATAAGTTTCCAGATGTTGCTTGAACTCCTTGTGCAAATCCTCCAGCTGTCTCAGATCATGTTTTGCATCTTTTGATCATTTTCGATTTCTGTTCCCACTGGGTTTCAGAGGAATCCCACACGTAGGATTTCTCCTCTTGGAAGCAACGTCTCGCTCCAAACATTGTTTCTGCAATTTGAAGGTTTGCAGGTTGTCCCAGAGGGGACAAAGCTGGCGAAGATGCTTCAGAGCTGCTCCAGGTGCTGCACAAGGAGGTGCTCCAGAATCGTCCTCCTTCCCACTCCCATGTATGAGTTACGGAGAGCGTGCAGAGCCATTCCATTGCCCACAGGAGGGCTCAGCTGGAGGCAGCTGTCTTTTCTTTCAGAGTTCCAGCTCCCCCTGAATCAGCGCTCCCCAAAAGTTTTCCATGGACTTTTACTCGGGCTGAGCTCCATCTTGTACCTGAGCTGCACCTGAGGTTTTCTTGATGCTTTCCAGTCAGGAGGAGAGGACTTTCTCCTGCAGCTCCACCTCGAGTGCCCAAACGGGTGCTTGCCTCGGGGCAAGCGATCCCACACGGCACGTCTGAGCGCTACCGGCGATGCCCGGGCGCCGCCAATCCCCTCCGCTCCCTTCCAAGGGAGCAGCCTGGCAGCCCGCGCGTCCGCTGCCGTTCCTCGCTGGCGCTGCTTTTCCAGCAGCCCAACGGGAGCCCGCGAACCTCTCCCTCGGGCATTCCCAAATATAACCTACGGGAACACGGCGCACGCAGCCCCAGTTTATTTTTAGCCCTCTCCGTTTCGTCGCGCTGACAGTGTGAAAATGTCACCGGGTTAACGGGGCTGAAGGTGCCCGCGGTGCCACCCGCACCCTGCCCGGCAGCGGGAGACTCTCCAACCTCCCCGGCCCGCCGCTCACACCCCGCGCACGGCAGCGCCGTCTCCTGCAATCAGCCGCTGCCCGCCCGGCTCCCCTCGGAGCGGGTCCCGTCTCCCGCCTCCCTGGGGGCTGCTGCGGGGCAGAGCCCAGGCCGGCCAGAGAGGAGCACGTTGCCGGCCCTGTGCCGCTCCGGGCGGGGAGGGGGAGAGAGCTGCGGTGCAGCCGCGGGGGGCGGACGCCCGGAGCCGGCGCTGCGTGCACGTGCGGGGCTGCGTGCGGGGTGCAACCACACGCGGCGGCACCTGCGGCGGCTGTGAACGGGGGGGTCGAGGGGACAGGGGGGGACGTGCGGGGACGTGCAGCGTCCGGCAGGGGGAGGCGGAGGTTTCCTCCCCACCCACTTCGCCAGAGAGGAGCAGCTGTGCCTTACGGGGACGGGGGTCGGCCCCATAGAGTGGAAATAAGAGTGGAGATTAAAGGACGTAGAGATCGAAGTCAATTTAAAAATAAAAATAAAGAAAAATGTTAAAAGATAGATATAGGAAGAAAAACAAAAACAAATAGAAAATAGGAAGAAAAAAAAAATCAAAGCAAACATTAAGCGAATAAAAGCGAAAAAAAACAAAAACCCACACCGCTAAAATCCAACAGCGGCGGCAGCGCCGGCAGCCGCACGGGAACGCCGCTCTCTGGCAGGGCTGCCCGGGGACCCCCCCGCCCCGCCGCCCGCCGAGGGCTCCCCGCAGGCCCCGCCCCCCGCCCCGCCCCCTGCCTCCCGGCGCGCGCCGCACGTGAGCCGGGTGCGGGGCGGGCCGGCGGCGCGCGTGCCCCGCGGGCAGCTCTGCGCGGCGCGGCGGGTGCAAGGCGCGGCGGTGCTGCGGGCGGGTGCGCGGGAGCGAGGCGGGCAGGGGGAGCGGCGGGGGCGGGGGGGCCGAGCCGCCGCACGCTTTCGCCACTGCACGGGAGAGGGGGCCGGAGGCTGCATGTGCGCAGCTCCGCCCGCGGATCCCCGAAGCCCGCTCGCAGCATCCCGCGGATCCCGGCCAGCGCAGCGAGGGAACGCCGCCCGCCGCCTGCCATGGACGAGGGCATCTCCCGCCTGCCCGAGCGGCAGCTGCTGGAGCACCGCGATTTCATAGGGTAAGCGTCCCCCGCCGCGCCCCGCTCCGCTCTCCCGAGCGGAGCGCTGCAGAGCGCTGCGGGAGGCGGCTCCGCCGCTCCGCTGCCCGTTCGGGGGGCGCCGGGCCGAGCTCCGGGCCGGGCTGCAGCTCCGCGTCTCCGCAGGCTGGAGTACCCGGCGCTCTACATGTGCAAGCCCAAGCGCGGCGTGAAGCGGGACGAGAGCAAGGTAAGGGCGGGCTGCGGCGCTCCGGCACCGCGCTCCGAACTTCCCCGGCGCGGCGCGCTGCGGTGCGGTGCGGGGTGTGCGGGGCCCCGGGGCTCTGCGTGACGCCGGGCGCCTCCGTGCCAGGAGACGTACAAACTGCCGCACCGGCTGATCGAGAAGAAGCGGCGGGACAGGATCAACGAGTGCATCGCGCAGCTGAAGGACCTGCTGCCCGAGCACCTCAAGCTGACGGTAAGCCCGGGGGGGCCTCGGCTCCCGGTGGTGCAGCCGGGAGGAGGCCGAGCGCCCGCCGCCTGCCTTGCAGACGCTGGGGCACCTGGAGAAGGCGGTGGTGCTGGAGCTGACGCTGAAGCACCTGAAGGCGCTGACGGCGCTGACGGAGCAGCAGCACCAGAAGATCGTCGCGCTGCAGAGCGGTACGCGGGCCCGGGGGCGGGCGCGGGCAGAGCGGGGCAGTGCGCGGCGGCGGCGGGCGAACGCTGTCCCCCCCCCGGGGGGCTTTCCCGCAGGGGAGCGCTCCGTCAAGTCTCCGGTGCAGGCCGACCTGGACGCTTTCCACTCGGGCTTTCAGACGTGCGCTAAGGAGGTGCTGCAGTTCCTGTCCCGCTCCGAGAGCTGGACCCCCCGCGAGCAGCGCTGCGCCCAGCTCCTCGGCCACCTGCACGCCGTCTCCTCGCAGTTCCTGCCCGGCCCGCGGCTCCTCTCGCCGCCGCCGGGCCCGCTCGCCAAGGGACCCTCCTCCTCTTCCTCCCCGCCCGCCCCCCTCCGCGCGCCGGCCCGCAAGCCGGAGGGCCAGGCGCACTGCGTGCCCGTCATCCAGCGGACTCACGCCGCCGAGCCGGGCGCCGAGACCGACACGGACACGGACAGCGGCTACGGCGGAGAGGCCGAGGCGCGGCCGGAGCGCGGCGCGGGGCCGGTCGGGCCGCTCCCCGCGCTGCCCGTCAAGCAAGAGCCGGCGGGGGACGAGGCGCCGCCCGCGCCCAAGCGGCCGAGGCTGGAGCGGGGCGGCAGCCCCCCGCCCGGCGCCGCCCTGCCCGGCGCTGCCCGCGGCGCCGACGCCGCGCTGCTGAGCTCGCTGATGGCGCTGGGCGCGGGCGGCGGCGCGGCGCCCTTCGGACAGCCGGCGGCTCCCTTCTGCCTGCCCTTCTACTTCATCTCCCCCTCGGCCGCCGCCGCCTACGTGCAGCCCTTCCTGGATAAGGGCGGCCTGGAGAAGTACCTCTACCCCGCCGCCCCCATCCCGCTGCTCTACCCCGGCATCCCGGCGCAGGCGGCCGCCGCCGCCGCCGCGGCCGCCGCGGCCGCCGCCTCCTTCCCCTGCCTGTCGTCCGTGCTCGGCCCCGCCGAAAAGGCGGCCGGGCTGTCCCCGGCGCCCCACCTGCCGCCCCCATTCGCCGCCGCTGCGGTGCCCGCCGCCGAGCCCGGCGAGGAAGCGGAGCCCGCGGCCGCCGAGGAGCCCGGCACCGAAGGGCCGTGAGCGCGGAGGGCGGGCGGGAGGCGGTGCCGGAGGGGCCCGCGGAACCCCCCGCGCCGCTGCCCTACAGAGGACCGTCCCGGACGAAATTTGCTACTCAGTATTTTTTTAATGTTTGGCTTTATAAGTGCATACGTATGTTAAGGAAAAAAAAAAAAAAAAAAAAAAGAAAGAAAAAGAAGAAGAAAAGGAAGAGAAATAGTAAGGATACTTTTTTTTTTTTTTCTCTCTCTCTCTCTAAGGTAACTTAAATGTCGCACCTTATTGTGATGGGTTTGTAGTGTCCCTGAGTCCCGCCGAGATGCTCGCACCGCGCCGGGCGGGCTCAGGTTGGGGCGGAGGGGCGGCGGAGCCCCGCACCTGTGCCAGCACTTTATGGGCGGCCGCAGTGCCTTGGGCACCCCGGGGCGCCGCCGGCTTCGGGCGTGCGGGGAAGGAGGGCAGTGCCGTTATGTAACCCCGCGTTCGGCTGTTCTGTTTTCGGCTGAGGTATACAGCTGCGGCGAGTGCGTCTGTGCTCACCCGTCTTTATTTAATTCAGTATGTTCCCCAGAGATTTCCCCCCGAACCGTGCTGTATAAAATGAATGTTTCTGCACTGAACTACGGAAAGAAAACCCCTCTCTCTCTCCCTCCCCTCCCCTCCCTAAGAAAGCGGAGAGCGGCTCGTCAGCTCGAGCTCGTTTGAGCGTAAGTTCTGACTGACACAAACCGGAGGAAAAACCCCCCGCTTTGCAATCGGACGCCGAGACCTTTGGGGCAACTTTCCCGGCCGGGCTCTCCCCTCATCCCACTCCCGAGCACCGCGATTTCCCTTTCTGGAGCCAAACCAGACGCCAGATAATCACACAGATAAAGCTTTTATAATAAGGCTTAAACCGAGACCTTGCCTGGATATTTTTAGTTTGTTGCCAAGGTAGCACTGTGAGAAATCTCACTTGAATGTTATGTAAGAGGTGAGACACAACAGTCTGACTCGGCGCGAGCGCGTACCCGGCTCGGCCCGGCGCTTCGGTGCATTGCTGCTGCTGTTGCTGCTGTTCGCCTCAAACGCTGTGTTTAAACAACGTTCCAGACCTTAGCGGCCTACCGAGTGGCTGTATGTACATAGTTGTTAATACATCCAATTAATGATGTCTGACATGCTATTTTTGTAGGGAGAAAATACGTGTTAATGATATTTTGAGTTAAATATCTTTTGGGAGGATTTGCTGAAAAAGTTGCACTTTTGTTACGATGCTTACGCTTGATACAAGCTTACGCTGTCTTAAATTATTAAAAGAAAATAAATCCTGTCTGCAAGAAACCAGCTGGTTTAGAACAGATTAGTATGTGATATATTAGAGACCGATCTTTATATTCCGTATTTTCCAGCACTCCGTGAATTCTATTATCTAAATATTTCCACACTATTTTGTGATTAAAAAAAATTCTTACTAAGGAATAAAAACTTTAATACGCAAAACGGGGTTGTCTACTAATTAAGAACCTTACGATAATAGGTAATAACAATAGGTGCAGGGAGCGTCCCACGCTGTGATGCTGCAGCTGACGGCGATCGCTGCGCGCCTCGTTACGTTTTGAAGCTGGGTTTCAATGTGCTCTGTTTCCTTTAAGTCACTTTGGCCATCTCCAATGTAAGAGGTGCGTGTTCCACAAAGCAGTGCGTAAAGTGCACATGGAACAGATGTGCTTCTTCCTGATGCTGACCTTTTCCCTCTTCTTCCCGCAAAATACTAATTTTGTCTTTTAAACTGAATCCTTTGCGTTTGTGCTGCTGTGTGTATGCTGTCTTTGTTCACTATGAGCAAACGTGATGGTCGACGTGACGGTCAGTTCCATGAATACCTGAACTCCAGAGGAACGATAGACGTCCCAGTCTGGAAATCAGCTAGGGGAGCTGAACCTCTGGGACAGTGGGAGCAGGGTAGTGGGAGCAGGCAGATCATGCACAGCATGGAAATACACCACCCTAAAGACCTCCGTAGGTTTAATATCTGAGCCGTTCATCACCTTTTCTTCCTGTTCCAGGGAAATAAAATTAAGGAAGCCCTCCAACAGTAGCCTGCGTTTATGTAAGAGAGAAATAGAGAGTGCTTCTTGCTCCCTCTTCTGGTTCCTCAGCACCAGTGCCCTGTACTCGGCTGCACCGACAGAATGAAGCTGGAGCATAGACATCACGGCAAAGTCTGGGACTCGTGCTGACTCCAGCGGTCCTTTGAGATACAAGAGGATGTATAAATCGGATGAAAAATAAGTTCTTCTCTTAAACTGTTTAAACACGATTGTTAAGAAGTAGGTGTGTGTCTCTTTGTATTCTATAGTAACATTAATTTCAGCTAGAAAAAGATACCATAGAAAGATCCCAATCTGTGATTTTTCCCATTCAGTCTCAGGGCTGCTACTTCACAGCCCTTGCCTGTCAAGATCAGTTACTGTGGGCTGAAAGCAAAGTGTATCGAAGGCAATATTAAAAACTGCCGCTGGCCATGGATGCTGTTGCACGTGCATGGGGCTGTCACAGGGATGAAAGGGAGCTGGATGCAGCCCTTCTGCTCTGCAGCTCACCAGCTACTTTGCTTTGACCTGCATACCTAAACAGCTACATTGTGCTGACCGTGCTCATGTACCATCTGGCCAGGTAGGGAATGGGCCTTACTGTACGTGAAGACCTTCCTGTCAATTTATGACATGCCCAGAAATGGCAGAACCGTGAAGGCTTCTGAAAAAAGCCCATCGCTACCCCTCCTACACAGCTTGGGTGGTGTGAAACCTGAGTGAGGACCAGGTTCTGTGGCTTCATCACTTTCCAGCTTTTGGGAATACGGATCAGCTTAGATTTTGTTGGGCTATAAACCAAGATCCTTATGATGTTTTACCAATTTCAGTGTTTACCGTGTACAATAGCAGGATGGCTTATTTTTATTAGCCCTTGAATCAAGCATGCCAAATGATTTCATGCCGAGTTACGGCATTAATGGAGTCTATTAATTTATTACATAAAACATAAAGGCAAAACATGTGTGTTCAGATAATACCAATGCCTAACAAAAGCAAACAGATTTAAAAGAGGCTTGTAATTGGAGATGATAACCCACTGCTGCTGGAGGCAAGAGGCAAATGCCAGGAGGGATCCAAAGAGTCAGCTCTTCAGGTTTTCATTCAACTCCAGGCTTCCTCAGATCCCTTTGGAGCCCAAGCCAAACTATGTTTTACATTTTCTCACAGTTAAATAGATACATATAAACAACATACAACAGCCTGGCAGGCTTACGTATATATTCAACTGCATGCAAATATCAGTGCTGGTCATTCCTACCTACTTTCTGTAACTCTATAATACGTGGTGCAACTCTTACCTGTGCTTCCCGGGTGCTAGCAGTGCAGGACTGGGTGCTGTACGTGTGGCATATGCTGGGATAGATACTGTATTTCTCATAAACCACGAGACACAACATAAAGGGGTAAATGTATTTTCTTAAGCAATAAAGTTAGAAAACAGTACATTATGACAGCACGGAAGGTTCTACCACAGTGTGCCAAATAAAGATTGTTAAGGCAGTAGAAGGTAATATCGTATAACTCCCACTTAAGGCAATGAAAGTTTTATGTTTGGAAAGATTACAGTTACAGAACTCAAACTGACTATTGACTCTGTTTAAGAAAGGCCTGACCTACCAATTAAGTCAGTGTGAGTCTGTTTCTTGAGCGTAATTGGTTTTGAAGTAGGTCTCAGTCTAAGTTGTGGGGCTTTTTTGTTTGTTAGCTTGGTTTAATTTTTACTGCTAGTTGGGGCAGACTGACTGTGTTCAATACTCAGCAAGCCTGGGGACTGCGTGCACTGCAGTGTTTCGGCACAGGCAAATTTATAGTCTGTGGGTCTCACAATGTGTTTCCTTTCCTCTTTGAACATCAACTCCTGAAGTCATGTGATCTTTGCCTTCACTTGAGAAGTTTCCTGCCTGTTAGCTGCAGAAATGTACTTAAAATATGACCTTAAAGAAAACAAGAAACAGAAATGCCTAATTTCCTCTCTGTAAAAGAACTTGTAATTTTTAGAACCAGCTTCACTCAAGAAAGCCTGACTCTCTCTTCACTGTTGCTGGCTATGCTGCAGAACAGCTCAGAGAAACCAGTGGTTCACCTGCCGCTAGCAGCAGCTGTGCAAGTCGCAGACAAACCCAGGCCAGAGTGAGCTGTTGCTGCCACTTGTCTCTGGGTCCCTTGTGTAGTCACAGGTCTCCAGGTTTGCCCACCTCCTTTGAATACAAACCTCGCCACTACCTCCATCACCCAGGCCCAGGTCAAGCAGCATGGCTCTCTCTGCCTCCCTGAACACATGGATGCCCAGCAGCACTGTTGCTGCCTGCTCCTGGGGCACCAGCATGCCTCCTCCTGCCTGGCAGCGCCTGGAGGAGGCAGGTCATGCATGGCACGGGCGGCAGGCCATGGCCTTGTGCTTCCCAGGAAGCTGGGACCATGGTTTCAGGCAGCTCTGTAAGGCCCAGGGCCAGGGGACAGCTTTCTCCAGCATCCGTAGAGACCTTCTGTTATTGTTTTCATTCCTATTATGTATTTCCAAAGCTCAGTGTCCCTGTCCGTTTTTGATCCTGGTGCAGGCCACAAGCACGTGCACTGATTTTCACCAATCTTTTACCTCAGCCAAGATCTTCTGGGGTCAAATAAGAAAACGAGGATTTGTTCCTCAATAGAAACACATCCACGTTCCCTTCCCCACCGAGTTTATCGCAGTCAGGTGCTCAATCTAGCACAACGGACACAACACTAACTGGCACAAATCCCATCTGAGTGCTCTGTGGGCTGGGTCCCTCCATCCTGGGGTACCAGCAGATCCCCAAGTACAGGCATGTGCCAGGCGTTGATGTCTGTGTCACTGCAGCCCAGGGAAGCGCCTCCAAGCCGCACCCCTGCTCATCTCCCTCGGTGCTGAGGTGAGCCAGGTCTGCGTGATACATCTCCATCCAGACCAAAGCCGGAGAACCGGATACCAAAACAGAAAGGCTTGCGGTCACGGCGCTCTCACAACTGAGCCATTTCTGAAGAACAGCCTCAGGAAAAGGGCTGTGTAAATGCGGCACCCTCTTACTCAGCAGAACAGGGCTCCCCGAGTGCGTTCCGAGCCCCAGCCGCGCTACGGAGCGCACCGGGCTGACGGACGCTGAAGCGGACTCGATGCTCCCTGCGCTTCACCGGCACAGTTCGCAAGGCTTCATCCCCACTGCCGGCAGCAGGCAGCGCAGAGCTCTGCTTACACACAGCGCTGCTTGCAAAGCGTCCCTGCGCAGGAGCTGCCGTTCATCTGCACAGCCCTCGGCACGGCACTGAGGTAAAGACTGGGTTACGGCCCTCCGAGCTGGCTCGGGGGCAATAACCCTTAGCCGTGGCCCCGCTCCGCGGCCAAGACGACTGCAGGCCCGGATCCCGGCTTCCAGCGGCGAGGCCAACGGCTCGGGAGGAAACGCCGCGTCCGTGCCCCGTCAGGGCGCAGATTCCGCCTCAGCCCGGCGGCTCGCCGCAGCGCGAGGCACAGACCGCCGTCACGCGCGCGCCCACCTGACCGGCGCGCACGCTGCCCGGCACGTGCTGCGCCGCCGCAGGGAGGTGGGGAGGGGGGGGGAGGAGGCGCGCCGGGGGGGCGGGGCCGCGGCGGTGCCATGGCGACGGGCGGCGCGTTCCCTCAGGAGGCGGTGCTCGTGGGACGCGTTGGCGCTGACCGCTCGGTCGGAGCGTTGCGCTGAGGGAAAAGAGCAAATCCGTGCTTTCTCAACAAACCGAAATAGGTTTGCTCCTTTGCTTCAAAACTGACTGTGGTGGCAGGGGAAGCTGTGGCTGGAAGAGTGAGGAGATAACGTGGTCATCTGAGAGGAGGAAGCTGGATTCCAGCCCTGCTTTGCGTTTTATGCTGCACGTTCTGATGCATTTTACGTTGCAAGCTCGCTGTAAACAAACAGATAAAAATGGGTACGCACAGGAGCCTCTGCACGCACTCTGCAGCCCTCTTGCCTCATTTTGAGACCCTAATCTCAAAGTATTGCAGAGTAAGCGACTGCTTAATGACCCTGTGCAGACCGCAATGAGATCCACAGGAGAGACAGAGCAGTGGGAGACGCGGGGCTCAGCCTCCTTGGGGGGAGAGAAAACCACCGATCCGAAGCACCGACGGAGAGAAAAGTTCTACTTAGCGAACTTTTACCTCAGTGCGAGGCTGCTCCTCTTCCTGCCGCAGCTTTTTGAGTGAGGAGTGGTGCCCTCTGTTGTCATAGAGAGAAGTTGCTGTGGTTAAGGGGACAGAACGTGAATGTTTGTTTTTGTTTTTGTTTTCCAGTACGACAGCATCTTACAGGTGCTCCGGTTTTGACGCACACACAGCTTGCTGGGTCTGACAGCTCAATGTACTGCGCTCAGGAATTCAGTTCCCAGAGTGAAGTCCATGAAGGAGGCATCCATAGTGTGTGCGTGCCAACAGGAAAAGCCTGGTTACTATCAGGCTATGTAAAAGGTAGAAAATATATGTGGAATAGGCAAGAACTGCTCCTTAGAAATGCCACCAAGGTAAATGAAGAGTGTGGGAATACTTGTGGGCAGGAATCAGAGCTAAAGCAGCCTTCAGCATCTCCTTGCACCTGAGAGAGAAGGAGTTACCGTGGTTTAAAGGTTGCTGTCATCAGGCAGTGTTGGTGGGTGCTCCTAGTCCATCCATAAAGAGAAACACCTGTGTAAACTTGGGACTGCAGCTTGTTCTATAGAACAGAGAAATGAGTAAGTGAAGATCTATCCATCTGCCTGCAAAACATGAAGCAGCTATACAAAATGCCTAATAGCTGGTCACAAGTTCCTGTGCTGTAAATGACAGGGTAAGTACAGTTATTTCAAATGACCTTCGAGAGCAATCTGTCCGCCATGCCCCAGGAGCCATCTCTGGGATGTGTGCTGCCATCGGTGTCTTGCCAGGCCTAGAAGGCACTTCCAAGAGTCCAGCTGTTTCCTGCAATCACTGAGTGCTGTCTGCTATAACTGTTTTAAAAGTACACTGTAATAGCACGGGTTTCCTTGGGTTTAGTAGGGCCGTACATTCAAAGCGGCAGAAGGCAACTGAGTTGTCTGTCAAACTCAGTGACAAGGTACTGCGTGACCCTTATTTTTGTTTCTCAGATCACCTGTATCTTTTCCAGGAAAAAAAGCTGCCTGGTCAGAAACAGCATGCTTGTAGTTTAGGGTACCCTAGCTTTTTCCCTAGTGGGTACAGTCACATCATTTGCATGTGTACAAGCCTGTAAAGAGGGGATCTCTTCCATTTTAACAGATGTTGCCTGTGAGTCCACACAACATGACAGACAATGCTTTTTTGAAGGCACTTCTGCATTGTGAGATGAGCTTCTGGCTGAGCCAGACGGAGGTAGGTGAAACTGCAATTCAGCCATGCAATAATGAATTACAGCAGAAGCATCACTGTGAATTGCCCACTTGTTTGATGCATGTTTTCAAACCACTGTAGATTCTGATGTGTCTTCAAACCAAAACATGCCATGCTTGGTTATTCCTTCTGCCACTGGAACTAAATCTGGCTATAATCAAAGTTCACTTTTTTTTTGTTTTGTTGCTTTCCTAGCAAAATAGGCAACTTATATTTGCTGGCATAATATCAGTTAGCTAAATATGGTTACCTTAAGAAGAAATCGTTATAGATTCAAATTTTATCTGCAGATGCAGCCATTCCCAAAATTGCATAGTTCAGATTGAGTTCCTTTTGTTAATATCCTTCAGTTACATTTTCACATTGTGGCTTTAATCAGACACAGATGCCATGAAATGCCATGCACCTGTCTGTGTGCATCAGAGAACGTATGTGTTTCTATAGTCAGAATGAGACAGAACAATGCTGGGAGGATTATCCTTATTCTTAGGTCAGGCTCTAAGAGTATTTTTACTTCTTGAAGCTGAGAAACTGGTGAAGGTAACTAGAGTCTTGATAATCTGCACTACAAGAAAACAAACCTAACAGTTCATCATATAATAGCTTGTTATTGTTGTTAATTCCAGCTTTCCCACTTTGCAGTCCCTGCCAATGAACTTAAATTGGCTTAATCCTGCTAGGAACCAAACTCCTCCTGCATTACTGAAACCAGTGTGCTAAAATCAATGGTGGATGAAAACATTCATATTGCAGGATAAAGCTTCAAGTTTAAAACAAACTAATTAGATCTCATAGGTAAAATCATTGTAGCTTTATTGATTGAACTGGCCCAACACTTGCAAACGGAGATATTAAAAGTCACTTCTTTTGAAGTGCTTCCATTGGTTAATTTGAAAAGCAGATAAATCTTTTGCTAAGGGGACAAGATTAATCCTCTGATTGAAGGGTTAGGAGCAGCTTCCTCTGTGTAGGATATTTTGGTAACTCCAGACCACAGTACTGCTTACTATTGAGCTGCCTCTGCTCATTTACGTCTTGCTCAAGAGGTAGAGACTGGATGCTAAGCCAGATGGCCCTCCACCTGAGTGAACTGCTGTTGGACAACTCTGCATTTTCTGTGAGATCAGAGTGGACATTTTAGTATAGGATTCACATTCAGAAGTAGGTACATAGAAATGATGAGCATTCTGTGGAGGTGCTTCACCTCCCTTGGGCCTTCATTTTCCAGTTTAACAAAAGCAATAGTAGTACTGACAGCCCTGACTAAATGCAGATATGTGTGTGTTCATATGCAACAGATTTTGCTTCTTGAAAATTTTAGGCTGTGTTCCAACAGTGTCAAACAAGCAGTTTCCCCAGGTACTCACACTTCTCAGGCTACTGGGCTTGATTTTGCATTTGCTCACAATACCCAAAGTAAGTGGTTGTCCTGTCTTATTGCATGCCTGGGAAGGGCTAAGTCCACTTTTCTTACCAAAGCAGGTGCCAGAAGCACCCAGAAGCAGGTGCTTTCAGCTGAACAGTTCCCCAGGTAACTGTGGACAAAGGTAGCAGTAAGAACTTCATTGAGCAGGACTTGAGATAAGATGCCATCAGCTCATTACTCACTGCTTTGTCAAATGCCTGTGGCTGCACTAATCATTATGTAAATGGCAATGCCTTAAAATGATATTTGATCTCAGAACTGGGCAGGAGCATTAAAGTCTTTGTGCTCAGCCTCACTAAGGGGTGCTCCTTCTGTACAAGTCTCCAGGGTCAGAAAAAACAGCTGCAGAAAGGCAGCCTTCTTCTGCAGTTTAACTCTTGTGCACTTTCTTTTTTCAGCCTCTATAATACCAAAGGGTTTCCACAGACAACCATGAAATGGCAGCCTTTCACAGCGGATTACTAGGTGCTCACATGTTGTTAGGACATCAGCAGACCTGTGGAAATATTGGAACGCTTAGGACCACTGAGCACATTCAGCCTGCTCAGTCAATTGTTTGTACTGATCAGCTACAACACGCTCCCCATAGCACTTGGGAAAAGACTCAGGCTGCCTCTTATAATAGCATCACTTTGAAAGAAGTGGTTGAACTAAAGTTGAAATAAGAGGGTTTTTATTCCTTTATTTTACTTATCTTTCCTCTTTAGAGAAAAAGCAGTTTAAAGCTAAACAAGAATTCACCTTCAGAAACCTCCACCTTCCCCTATAGGTCTGCATGCTGCTCACACTTACACTAAAGGTAACTCAGAGTGACTTTATGTTATCCTCTTGGTACCGTGAAAAGATATACTTTATTGCAATAGTATTTAGATGGCACAGCCAAGATCTGGACCACAGAGGGCTAAGTACTATTTGCTAAACAAATAGGAAATGAGGCACGGTTCCCCACAGGGCTTGCAGTATATATAGACAAAGTCAAAGGGGATGAAACAGCATTATCTCAAGCTTACAGCTGGGGGACTCCAATCCAGAGGAATTATATTAGCTCACCCAGGGTCACACACAGGAAATCTGTGGCAGAGCTGTAAAATAAAACAAGAACTACTCAGTCCCAGAGAAATACACCAGGCACAGCAGAATGTTTCAACTCACAGCAGTAGAGGTTTTAGAAAGCTACCAGGCCTGAGCACTCCTTACAGACTGTGGGAACTGCATCAGTTGTGCCTCAACCACACTCGCTGCTACAAGGACACAGCTCTTTGTAAGCATCACTGCATTCTTTCTGAAATAACACATATAAAGATGGGATGTTGTGTATTTACATGATTCTCTCTCATGTGCTGTATGCCTAGACAATCTGCTTTCCAATTAGCTGTGCATCTGCTGCTCCAGGCATGTTGGCATGTACTGCTGCCCTCTCGTGTAGACCTCGTTGTAATTGCAGTGATTTGATTGAGTCAAAGGGGCAAGATTACCCAGTGCCCGGCATCTAGTGAAATCTTACACGCCAACATTCATCTAATGGACAGACAGCCTTACCTTTCTCGTTTAGCTGTGTCTCTGTCTCATCCACTCTCATTTTGATCATGAGACAAGCTACATACAGTGGAGAATCCAGGTCATATTCGTGGCAACCACGATGCAGATTTTTTAGGTCAAGGTAACAGTTAAGACAACATTACAGCAGTGGTGGTGTAGTTAAAAGATGGCTGGTGCTCTTGGGTTTTTCATCAGCTTTCCAGAAAGGCAGTTCTATCTCAATGATCAAAGTTCTCCTCAGGTTAATTCTGACTGTGCAAGTCAAATAATCTTTTCTCACACATAGCATTTGATCAAAAGGAGCTTGGTGAATCTAGTACAAGGGATATATTATTGCAGGCTGTGACACGTATCACTATACGTGTTATTAAGAAATTCCAGTTATTCCCCATTTAAAGGCTGGCCTGCATTTTATTTTAACAACAGCTGCTGATGGTATCCAGTGGTACTGCATCACTGCCTCTAAAGCTGGATGGTTTCCTTCACCCTCCATCACACAGGTCACAAAAGAGGCTGAAGGGCAAATTAGCAAGTTATAGACTTTTTCATTGGTGCACATCTTCCATCACTCCTCTCTTCTCCCCCCACCCCCCTTTTTAAAAATTATTATTATACCAGCAGTCTTCCCTTTAAAAATAGCTAGGCAGCTACATATTGGCACTCATCCAATTCATTGGATACAGGGTTTTTTTGTGGGGGTTTTTTTGTGGGGGTTTTTTTGTGGGGGTTTTTGTTGTTGTTGTTATTTGTGTTGGTTTTCAAGCCCAGCATGAGCTCCTCTGAAGATCTTTTTCAAACTTGTGTTCATTAAAAAGAAATTACAGAAATTTCTGCTGTTGATGCCCTGTGCCTGGAGACTTTCAAGGCAAGGCTGGATAAGGCCCTGCACAACTTGATCTAGCTGTAGTGTCCTTGTTCATTGCAGGGAAGTTGGAGTAGATGGCCTTCAGAGGTCTCTACTCAACTCAAGGATTCTACGATTCTATGAAAACTTTTGTTCCTTCCACCTTGGTTCAGGATTAAGTATTAGTTCTTTTATATTGCGTTTTCTCAGGATATCTCCAATTATTTACTGCCTTTTTTTCCTGCTGCAAGGAGGTAGAGCAAGGCAAAGTACATAGCTGAAACAATGAACACAAAATAATATGTGCAAAAAAATATGCACAGAAAGGGAAAACATAACTGAAACAACAGCTTCAATTCTGTATTTTGGAGGAACAGTATAAATGAAAGCATCCCCATGAAAGCATGGGGAACAAGCCAACATGCATGTAGTTAATGAAGTAATTAAATTATGAGAGAGGTGTCATAAATAGCCTCTATCTGTTGCAGGCCAAATCCCCTTCTCTAGTGTGTTACTGCACAGGAATCTGTCCTATTGACTGGACTTCACGTGTTGGTTGGTTTTTTTTTGTGACCTTCCTTTTCCTCAATACACCTATGACTCAGAGGAATGGAAACTGAAATCAAAGTAATACATAATTAACTCATGTGGACCAAAGCAAATACCAGAGACTGACATCCAGCTGGCAGCTCCTTCAGTTGAGAATCCCTCAGCTGTGTAGCTGTTAGACCACATTAAGCTGCTGGATGACTGAATAAAAAGGATTACTCTAATGATGCTCCCTCATTCCACGAGAGCCTGTAGAGACTCCTGCAGCCCTTCCATAGTCAGGGATTCAGATCTGAAAAGCATCTCTAGAAAATAAAACAATCAAAAAAGGATGGTTATTTTAGCCAGGAGTCGCTGCAGAGCAAATCATGTGCATGGGAGAGAAACAGCAGGGCTACAGCAGCACTGCCTACGGGACAGCAAGGAAGTTTCCTGCTCAGGGGTACACAGACACACCAGAAGTGGCATGTGGACACTATCAGTGGCTGAGCCAATGAGTCAAGTGGAGAGGGTGCTCAGGTAAATTTATCACCTCTTTGCATCAAGTTTCTTCTTGCATTAGCACATGACAAAGAGGTTCCCTGCAGTATCTGGACTACTGCATCCAGGCTCGGAGCCCCCTGGAAGACACAGAGCTCTTGGAACAAGTCCAGAGAAGGACCACTAAGATGATCAGAGGGCTGGAGCACCTCTCCTGTGAAGAAAGGTTGAGGGAACTGGGTGTGGTTAGCTTGTAGAAGAGAAGGCTCTGGGGAGACCTCATTGTGGCCTTCTTGAAGGGTGCATATAAACAGGAGGGGGAACGGCTGTTTATGAGGGTGGATAGTGATAGGACAAGGGGGAATGGCTTTAAATTGAGACAGGGGAGGTTTAGATTAGATATTAGGATGAAGCTCTTCACGCAGATTTGGTGACACACTGGAACAGGTTGCCCAAGGAGGCTGTGGATGCCCCATCCCTGGAGGCATTCAAGGCCAGGCTGGATGTGGCTCTGGGCAGCCTGGTCTGCTGGTTGGCAATGCTGCACATAGCAGGGGGGTTGAAACGAGATGATCGCTGTGGTCCTTTTCAACCCAGGCCATTCTATGATTCTATTAAGTTGCCCACCAAACAGTAGCTTACGCTTAACAACTCAAAGCCATAGTTTGGTGACATGACAGCACAAGAATAGGGAACTCATTGCAAAGAAGGGGACAAAGTACACAGCATACCCATCTGGTAAACAGAACAAACCAGACCAGCTGAGATTGTCTCCATCCAATATTTCTGGAGAAAATTAATGATGAAACAGTCGTTGATCTAGACAGTGTTCACTCATTGACACTAGCTACATTACCAAAGCTAGCAAATATATCATCCTCAAGAAAGACAATAATGGACGGTCACTTACTGTGTCCTACTTCAGACACTAGAGAACTTCGCTGAAACAATCATTAAAAATTGGGACTACAAAGAAATATCACCTAGCTGACAAGGGTGTGACAGGCAGAAGAACTCAGAATAGCTTCTAAACAAAACAGACCACTGATCTGCTTTGGTTTTGCAACTCATTAGTGGTCCAGCTACACTGAGCTAGTTAGTGCTGCAGCACCACTTTGTTCTTTAAAGGCAAAGCAAAAGATCAGAACCATTAGCTGTGCCACTGGCTCTACTGGAGCACACTGGAAAGCCTTAGATACCACAAAGATCAGCTAGGTGACTTGCACAGAAGCAGAAAATGGCATCTTTCAGGAGCAGAGGTCCTTTACAAACTTACATGGACCCGCAAGCATGAATGCAGCTAGCTAGGGCTTCAGTGAAGCTCATGACCTCATCTGTCTATCGACAGCACTACTACTGTTAGCTCATTTATCTTCACATCTAATGAGACTGAGCTTCAGTTGGCTTAGGAAAAGAGATTTGTTGAGGCATTAGACTAAGGACTGTATTTGGATAGCTTAAATCACTGTTCCCTGGCTGTAGCAAGTTCCCCTGATCAACAACAATGAACTCAAATGATGTTCATGTGCCCTGCTGTCTTCAGCACAGGAATTAAACCTGAATCAAGCCTTCAGCGCTCTGTTCAAAGCTTGATTTCCTCTTGCTGAAGCATATGCACCTTGTGTATTTTTCTTTGAAGGTTCTGTATATCCAATTCCCCTCTCTGATCATCATCTAACAACTCCTGCCTCTCTGCTTTAAAAGTTATATTTCCTCTGAGTTGCTGATCCTTTCTGTTATTTGGGGATGAATATGAATCTCATTGGCCGTTCTTCAGGTAAAAACAAGCTCCATCACTTCTTCAGTTTCTTGGCTGTATTTGTACGTGTACGCTTTCTGGTAGAGGCCCCACAATGACCAGGCACGTGTCCCCTGACCCAGGTAAACTATCATTTGGGAGCAGCCACCGTCATGCTCAACAGAAGGTCGTTTCTGAAAGCATTTGAGCTCCAGACACATAGAACATCATCTTGTTCTTTGATGGACAGAGTTCAGCTATAGATAAGATGTATGCAAGAGGTACAGCGCAATTCCAGCAAACCATGAACTGTAAAGACCCAAAGTTTCAGAGGGGCATTTATTGTATGGGAGCATATTCAATATCTTTTGTCAACCATTCATGAGAATAATCAAAAATAGAAGCTTTTTAAATGACAAAATATAGTTACATATAGTACAGATTTTTATCTTGCATTGAAGCAGAGCAGTAAGAAAATGCTCATTTGTGTTTTCACAGTTAGTTGGCATTGCTTCTCAGTGTTAAAGCTTCAGCAACTCAGATCTTCCAGTCTGAGCCCCCAGTGAGTAGTTTCACCAGGTGGCTGTATTCACACGAGCATGCATGTCCTCTGCATTTTGATACCCTTTTTACTAAATATAGTGGACATACTTGATCCATCTTGGAACTGCTTGCATTTTCAGTGGTACCAAATATGCTTGAAATGAAGCATTCTTGCCGTAACAGAAAAGCCTCTTCTATCAGAACATGCTTTCAGGTCCAATTCAGAAACATACCTGTGGTTAAACCCTATTTGGTTCAACGGACTCTGAATTTATCCTTTAAGACCACCTCTACTCGTTCTGTCTTTCCTAAGCATTGCACCTTGGTGTGAAGAGTTAAAACAGTATTTGGTCGCACCTGGAAGTTGCTTGCAACACCGCAAAAGATTTGAACATTCTTCAGCAGTCCATTTACTCAAGGCATTCACTGCATGCATGTATTTATGTATATACTGCACACATATTCCCAGCCATCCCACAATATTATTGCAATAATTCCTTGCTGGTAGAACAGCTTATATGCCAAGTTTCATTTCTTTAGTTTTCTATAAACAGGAAAAACAAAACCAACCAACCAACCAAAAAAAAAAAAAAAAAAACAGCTGAAGAAAGCTAGAACAGCTTTCAGTCAGTCACTATATTGGCATTGAAAGCTTTATTTTGAAAACTTTAAGCAGCAATACTGAATAAATAGAGTGATTGTTTTGTCATCTCCATACAACTGATGGCCTTCATCCAAAACATTAAAATACTGTAGCAAATAAACATGCATGTTTCAATGTTCTATTAAAAAAAAAAAAAGTGTAATATAAAGTAACACTTTGACACTTATTAATTTTGATACAGTACAGACCATTAAAGACTCTTTTCTGGAGAAAATATCCGAATACAGGTTTGGTATTTACATGGATCATTAAGGCCCAATTCACTCAAGTTAATGCACATCAGGAATTTATATGCTTCAAGATAACTCGCTAAAAATTACAAGATCTGTTTTTTGTTCATACTCATATGATCCCAGTTCACTAAAATATACTCTTCAGCTAAAAAGAAGGCAATTATTGCCCCAGGAGACTTACTTCACTAAAAGATCTTTTCCCTCTTACTTCACAATGAAAGCAGTTTGCATATTGCTAATGCTAGTGGTAGTTCTCTTGCTACAGAACTTCCTTCCAGCTTGCTAGGGTTAATAAAAACAAGTAATCACAAAGCTAACATAGCATTTTCAGAAGCAATTCAGGCACTTGGGAACCTAAGTCCCACCGAAGGATAATGGGAGGCAGGTTCCTAGCTCACTTTTCAAAGTGGGATTTGCATTTCTCCGTTGCTTGGGCATTCAGAACGTTTACCTTGGCATTACCCTATTGGCTTGTCAGTCAGTCACTCCCCATTCCCCCAACAACATAGCATCACCACCAAAAATAAACTGTATCCTCATGGATTGGAGAGATAACAGTTAATTTCCATTAATATAAGTAAATAAACTTCAGGAGTTCTCCATATAAATTCCCCATGCACTGGAAAACAGTGCTTGCGTATTTAACTATTTAATGCAAACAAAAATAATTATGCTGGCCAGTACATAATCTGGCACTTGATTAGCACATGTAACTTCTTTTCTGCTAATGCCCCATGAGGAGGTTTGAAACACTTCTGAAAATGAATTTTTCTACATTTCTAAAAAAAGAGTGAGGTTCTGTAATTGATCACAAGCAAAACTCTTAGCGCCGTAACGTGAGGAAATTTTGTAACTGTAATACATTGTTCAATTCACATTTAATGTGATGGCATGCCACTTCTTCTTGGTTTATTTACAAAGAGGGTGAAAATGCTACAAAACTTTAACCTGGCTGAAATTCAATAAGCAACAGGAGTATGGAGGGAGGGAGCTGCAGATTTGTCGCTGTCTCACAAATGGCAGGTTCAGACACAAAAGCCTCTCCTTTGCCACAGCAGTGGCTGAAGATGTAAACGTTTTCTAGACCACCCTGACATATGCTAAAGCCCTGATAAGGAGGGTCCCCTTGGTGATGCAGTGGTTATTTCTGAGCCAGCTCTAGGCTGGCACTTCAGTCAAACAGCTGCTGCAATCAGCAGATGCCATTTTTTTATTTTTTAACTTAAATGGGAAAATCCTTCCTTGGTTCTATTAGGAAACCATAACTCAAGCCCTCCAAAGCTGCTCTTCCAGTTCCTTTCAATCCTTTTCCTCCTCCCTCTAACCTCAGGAATAACCTCACAGAGAAAGAGGGCAGGTTTTTTTTTATGCCCCAAGAGCTCAGTTCAGCTCAAACTTGTATCTGTGGGAGATGGACCAGACACTTAAAGTCTGACAAAAATATTAAGTGGGTAGGTATGCTCATCTACCTTATCTCAGTACAAGGCTAAGATTGCAACAGGCTTTTCCTTGCGTTTCTCCCCGTGCAGCATAATTTGGGCCAGAGTTTGCAAGGTGCTGAGTGCCTCAGTTCTCTAGTGTCAAGAGGAGGTGCTGAAGATGCAAGATATTCAGTGGAGAGGGCCTTTTTTTTTTTTTTTTTTCTGTAAATTGAACCCAGAACGTAAGGCATATATGCTCAAGTACCTTGGACAGATATTGTCCTGAAACTATGTATATTTTACATTTTTTTTTTTAATATATATATATATATCTATATACACATTCTCTTTTTAATACAAAGTTATGGGCACAGTAAACATGAGCACAGAATTGTGATAAACTAACAGTAAAATTGCGAGCACTGCGAGGGTTCCTTGGATAGGAACATCTCATTTGCCAGTTTACTCACAAGGAAAAAAGAAGACCTGATAATTTAAACAGTAAAAATTCAGAGTCCATTTGGAAAGGTCCTTTATATATTCACAGCCTTATCTGTTGCTGTTAGTCTAAGTACAGCAGCATTTTTAGAATATATGATGCCATTAATAAGTGGAAAATAAAAAATGCATTGAACACTCAAGAGTCCTTCATCTTCTACTATATCTGACAAAGCCACTGTTTGTCAGTATGACTAGGAAGCTCCTTTCCTTAAAAAAGAAAAAAAAAAGAAGGAAAAAAAAAAAAAGAAAATTGAAATTAACATTTATCTGCACATCAGTAAATCAACACAAGAGGCTGCTAGGAGTTAAAAATATTCTATGGCTAAAAAGCTTGGAGTTTCCTACCAGTGGTAAAATCCTGACCCTACCAAAGGTATTATTGGGAGTTTTGTCATTTTGCCACTGACTGAACTCTGGGGTTCCTCTTCGTTTTTATGCTCTGGGGTCCTAACTATTAAATACTATTGTGACAGCACTGTGACACCCTCTTACGTCATGGTGACCATCATCCCAAATGTGTGGATGATAGTTTGAGCTGCTGTTAGAACAGGAAATCCAAATGCAACTAGGTAAGGTCCATCCATTCTCCATCTCAGAAGGCTGTAGCCTCCTAACGTATATCAGCTGTCCCACTGATGCCAATAACTTACTCTGCAGACTTGTGCACGCTGTCAATCCAATTTCAAGAGCCACACCCAACTTGCTACTTGGTAGTATTTTTCTGAACAAAAGCCATTTTGTCTAGAGCTCGCTTTGATTGCATTAGAGTAACATTAAGATAAAATGTTATCTCTTTGTCTTTTTTTTTTTTTAATTTACTAGATCTTTTAATTTTCTGTTTGTATACTTCATGTTCTGCAAATGACTGAGCAACAGTACATTTTCTAAGGGGCTAAAGTGTAACATTTTACACAGGGACCTGGAATGAAATTGGCTGAGCTCCACTCAAGTCAGCAGAAGCTCTGCTATCGACCTCACGGGACTCTGCCAGGTTTCTTCCCTCCACAAAACCTGGATAAATTCTGGAAGGCTGGGAGAGGATGCTCATTTGTGTTGTTTTGTTTTTTTTTCTCCTCCAACAGCATGATTTACTGCAAAACAAGAACACTGTAATGGCTATTGGCAGAAATAAAGTACAAAATCACACACAGTGAAAGCCTCTTACTCTCTTTTGGTAAGATATATGAAGACAACTTCTTACATTGCTCTTTTCTCAAAAGGCATATACAATGTGGCAAAATATTTCAAATATACATTCTATATAATAAAATATCATCTAACTAGTGCATCCTCAATTGTATGCTGGAAATATTCTTACCAAGCTAAGGTTTTAATTCCTTCAGTCTTTTGAACACTAGGTGCTTTTCTCAAGGCAGATTCAACAGCAAGTAAATCCCACAAACTCACTTTTCAAATCTTAAAAGGTAGCAACAGATGGAACATGACATATGACCCACAACAGAAATGAACAAAGTCAGTGGTGAGAAACCATTTTAGAGGTTCAGCACACAACTCTCCGCATTTCAAAGTTGTTGCACTTGATCAAATGCTGGATGTCTGTACATGCAAATTAAAGTCACCTTGTCAGACTGATGTACAACCATACATGATTATTCACAAGTTAAAAAATAAAAAATATAAAAGGTCAACATTCACACGTCCATTGATTAAAAGGAATAAATTAAACCTCAAATCAATTGCATACATGGTTTCCTTCACCCTCAGTCTTTTATTTATGCCTATACATGGAATAATGTATACTTTCCCAAATGCTTCTGAAGTGGCAAAAACCTCCATTTGGTTTTGCGCTCTAGGTGTGTGACAGCAACTTCACCATTGCCAATTATGAATTGAGACAGTTCCTCTGTCTCTTCAGTGCACAAGGTATGGCTCCAAGTAGTGTGTTGGAGGAAGAAGACAAAAAATAGGGTGGTTTAACAAACAAAACAAAACAAACTTCTTCCATTGATCATTGGCGGAACAAAAGAAAAGTGTATCTTGTCCAGGGTACCTTGCTAGGTCCTCTCCTAGAGGTATATAGTGTCATACATAAATGCCCTCCGGGTTAAAACCAGACGACAGGGGATTCTGCAGGATCCGAAGGTTACTGGGGAGCTGCCTCGATGATCCAGGGCGCTTCAATGACCCCGACTGAAATGTCGGCTCTGCACAAGAAAGAAGGCAGTTAGAAAAGTCATCATCAAAGGTAACGTCACAGAACACCTCCCCTTCTTCCTGCTTACTGGCAAAGTTAGTGCAGCTTAGAATAAAAAAATAGCACTACATACAACAAAGAATTCAAATGCCTGAATTGGAAGTGATGAGAGCTAAGGTGCACGCTCCCTACTCATTTCAAAACACAGAGCTACTCAATATAATTACTCTCCCACAAGGAACACACAGATAGATACACGCAATGCATTCATGCAGTAGTGTGCAGAAAGATCCTGTACCTATATATAACTCAAAGCTTTCTGCCCATTTAAATGACAAACTTCATACTCTTCAAATACTGATGTTTAAGGCCTGGCTACCCTGTCTTTTCTCCCCACCTCCCTATCCTATGGCTTTCGGTTTGAAAGTTTACGGCTGAAGAAAATCCTGCAACAAAGGGATCACTGCAAGCAGATCATGGAATAAAATGTAACACAGCAGAAGCTGAGGCACAGCAATGAAGTTTCTGCTTGTGCCACAGTGAGAGAGAAGCTACTAATACACTGTTTATTTATAGCTTGCTAACCCATTGGGATTAAGAGAAATATTTGACGCCACACTCTCAGTATTTTGCTAGCTTCTTTGCTAGCACAGTGTTCACTTGACGTGCAAATGCTGGTGTTAATGCAGCAGGTACACACATTGCTATACCCTTCTCCCTCCCACCCAAACCACTGGGTGCTGCACCTCTCTCGAGCTCTGCAGGTGGGGCCTCCACCTCAACAGGGTCTGCTGGCAGCACTGTGACCTTCGTTCCTGTTTGCTGGATAAACTGTTGGAGGTTGACCTGTCGCAGTTCCTTTGTCAGTTGCTCTAGTTCTTGTTCCCTGTCCTGCAAGGAAAAACAAAACATCTGTTGAGCAGAAGCAAGCATAAAGCAGCACTTAAGGACTTTATTTGCAACTGGGCAAAATGCTGCTCCTCCTTTCAATGAGTAAATGTCTTATTTTTAAAATCAAATGCAAATGAAAGAGTTGAAAGGTATTCTACTATTGTAATTTAGAAGGCAAACCATCACTCAGTATTACTTATTAGGAGTTACTGGTGGTCTACTTCCATTAATTTTTGAATGAGCAGTTCTCCTACCTCTGCCAGAAGTGTCCAGCATGACTTGGACAGCTCATTTAGTTCTGTTCCTAAAAGAGTATTTTCTTTCTCTTTCTGTTCTTTGCGTTTTCTACCTAAAGTCTGAATTCTTATGGACAGAACTGTCCCACTCTGCAAGTGTTTTGTATGCTGAGGTCTAATGCAGGCTAATTCACCAACCCTTCACAAATACAAAAGATGACCATTTAGGCTCCTTCTCCACTCTCTGCGACTCTGACATGACATGCAGTACCTACAGCTCCAACAGATGACAGAATGACATCCTTAGAACATAATTTTTCTCTACCTTCTTGGCTGTCTGCAAGTGGTACTCAACAGACAGGAAGGGCTTTGCCTATTTGACCCTACAAGCAATGGGCAAGCTACCCAGGCATCATGTCCATGGGCAGTTCCATTTAGTAAGTGCCCCTACATTCTCATTTTGGTGAGATGTGGAGGGTGAGTTAACCTTCCTCTCCTTAATTATCTTGCACAAACAGAGGTAGATGTGAACTCACAAGACCAGGGAAAGAAAAGTTCTGTGGATCTTTTGTATGAACAGTCCCAGAGAGCACAGTCCTTATTCACTTCAAACTTGTATGACAGTCACAGCTGAGACTGAACTCAGCAGGCAGTAAGAAAACTGACAAAAGTGATCTAATATTTAAATTAGGACCTTAAGTGCCAATGGCTTTGTCACCAATGTGTTTTTGTTGAACCTGTTCAGCCAGTGCAGGCTGTATGGCTGGCCCTAGCTCGCTCTCTGTGCCAAACTTGCTTCCACTCATCTGCTAAGAGCTTTTGGAGGGCTGACAAAAGGGATTAGGCCACCTCTATGTGTTAAGACAATTCCACAGGGAAAAAAAAAACCGATTTCTTTTAGGCCCATTACACTTCACAACTGTCTTTAATTAATTCTGCACTGCCACATTTCATGAGATTGTAACACAGCTGCAACCAAAGATAATTCTGTTCTTAAAAAATAAAAGGAAAAAAATAAATAAAATCACTGCAATTTGCAAGGTAGCAGATCTTCATAAATAATTTGTTCTTGACATTTATCAACTCTTTGAGAAAATCAGGTCGAAAATGTTAATTATCACCCCAAATCTGACTGAGATAAGATCATGATTTAATGTCAACTTATGAAACCTTAGTGAGACCTTTTACTTGAAGAAGGGTGGTGGTTTTTTCTGTTTGTCATTTTGCTGTTTGATTGCTTGGTTTTGCATTCAATATCTAGAAACAAGTAGAGCAGAGTTCTGCATCTGATCTTTAAATAAATATAGCCTCCAATTTTAGAAAATGATGTCTACTGTGGTGGCTACAGAAACTGAATGACAGAGAAGAGATGGCACAAATCACTAAAGATCTCTGAAAAGCCTACGCTGAAGTCCCACCCCTGTTTTCTTATCACTTTCAATTTAGTGAACCAACATTTTCTTTCCTTCCATATTAAACAATCTAAAAACCCATCTCAACTTTTCTAGTTTCAAATCAACCAGCTCTATCAGTGTTAATATTTGACTTTCAGCATATGAGAAATTATTCCTCTGTTCTCAACTCTATTACATCATTTTGGGAGCTATTTTTTTTAAGCTGATCTTCCAGACCACTGCACCTTCAACTTTAGAACAAGTTTGAAAGACCTGAACTTGCAGAAACTTGCCTGAAAAAGTAAAACCGTCATCTATGAAAAAAAATGAAGCAAGAGTTTGAACTTAATCACAGCCTCAGTAGGAGTTACTGAGGACATCTAACAGATGGGCAGTGCCTAGTCCTACCCTGCACAGTACAGTGAAAGTCCAGGAGTAAACCTGATTCCTAAAGTCACAATTTCTCCTTCACCTCTCTGCTAGCAGCTGGATCTCCATTTGTATTTATTCTTTCATGCTCTGTTCAGTTGCAAGTGACATCATTAACTTTTGCAAGGAAGCAGAGGCTGGATTCTCGTGTCACATGTGGCAGCTGCTTGAGGTGGAGAGAAAGTCAGACAGGAGAAGGGGGATGCTGTTCTTTAAAACAATGGCCCCGAAAGACAGCAGCTATCTTAACTCTACATCCATTTACCTAGATGCTGTTTTTAGACTGTTCTTTTTAATTCATTATCTTTGGAGGCAGAAAGACCAGCAAGAATCAAAACTTCAGTCATCAGAAATTGATGGTGCCAATTCCCCTGAAATGTAACTATACAAGACACTCAGCTGCCAAGACCCAGGACCAAAATCCTTAACATACCTAACCCCAGACCAACAGGTGTTGAAGACAAATGTTTGGAAGAGAATTTGGCTGAGAGCACTACGGTCCTGTTTAGCATCTGCATGACCACCTTTCTCTGCTAGCCCTGCATGTGCTATTGTTTGTGCAGAAGATATTTTTGAGCATTAAAAGCCCAGACCCACGATGGAGCAAGGCAAAGGGCCAGATGTACTGCCACGGATGTGGCCACGCTGCCTTCAGCGAGCCCAACTGATATTAGCACTGGTGTTTCTCTGTCACGCTCTGCTGCATGGCAAAGATATGCTCTGAATTACATCTCAGAAATCAGCAGGTAGCCAGCGAGTGATGGCAAACTGAAGCTGTAACTGATGGGAAAGAAATAGAGCCTGCACACGGATAAGGAGAGGCTGTGTGCGATAGGTGCAATTCTAATTATCTGCTCTTCAAGAGAAGTCTGAAGAGCAATGTGAAAGTGGGAGGAACATTTTCTTCTTTTTATTCAAGTTCACCACTGCAAGTTTCTTACGCTTTTTCGGTCACATCAAAAACTCATTACATCTTTGACTGTTCTTTAACAACGGATAAAAAGGTTGCTCTTACCTGTAACCGCTTGGTAGCTTGGCCCAGAGATCTTTCTACAGCTTTAATGCCATTTTCCAACCTCAGACTCTGCTGGCCCTGAATATCGATTTCACCTTTCACCTTCTCGATCTTTTCTTTGACCTCTTCCTCGTTGACTTGGGATTCCTGCACCTCCCGGTGCAACTTCTCCGCCTCGAGGCCGCTCTCCATGTTGTGGATCTGGGACATGTAGTCCTTCAGCTTGCCCTCACACTCCAGGATGCGCTGCCTCATCTCCTGCAGCTGCTCCTTCAGCTGCTTCTCGTTCTCCTGCTCAATCTGCAGCTCGTTCTCCCAGAACTCCTCCTCTTCGATCTCCACTTCATTTCTCTTGATCTTCTGCTCCAGCTTGAGGATCTCCTCCTCCAGGCTGGCATTGTACTTCTGCTCCCAGTACCGGATCTCGGCCTCGTTAGACTCCAGCTGCTTCTCAATGCACTGCAGCTTCTCCGTCTGGAGGTGAATCAGTTTCTTCAGCTCGTCCGCCGTCGTTTTGCAGTTGTTGAGCACCTTCTGCTTGAACTCGGACTCCTTACTTTTCCCAAAGATATCCATCAGCCCTTTCGCCCCGCCGGTGAAGGTCAGGGACTTCCTCTTGGGCTCCCTCCTCTTCATGGCCTTGTCGTTCTGGGGCCGCAGCTTGGCCAGGGGCGGCAGGCTCTGCCGGTACAACGTCCTCTCGGGGATGCGAGCCACGCTGTCCGACGTGGGCCGCTCGCTGAGGGAGGGCCCGGTGCGGCGCAGGATGAGCTGCACGTCGCTGGCGTACTGCCCCCACTTGTTGAGCGACACGATGGGGTTCTCGTGCGGCGCCAGGTGCCGCTCGGTGTCCCGCCACTTCTCGATCAGCGTGTAGCGCCCGGTGCGCCCTGCGGGACAAAGCACAGCCGTCACCGAGCGCCAGGGGGCGCCGCCGGATAAGGCCGAGCCCGGCCCCGCCGCGGGGAGCCCGGGCCGGCGGCACGGCGCTCGCTGCGGGAACGAGTCCCCGTCGGCAGAGGGAATTCACCTGCAGCCACCGCACCGCTCACACACGCATACAGAAAAAGCCAACCGATTCGAAAGCCTGCGTTATCCCAACAGGTTTCGCAGCAGTTCCGCAATTGCCATTAACCTGAAAAACACCGTTACCTATTTTAATGCTATACATACGTCCGCTTCCATGACAGATCGCTGTTTAGGGGGTAATTTACACTGGCAAATAAGACCTTACAGTAACAGTCATTTGTGCAGCTGTGAGGTGGGGGAGACGGGCTGCTTTGGCTGCTGGGCGTGCAGGAGACCACAGTGACCAAGCCCACCCAGCGAGGGCTTCAAGAGTGCATGAAGATGGAACTGATAGAAGTCAGCAAAACACAGCAAGCAGCGTAGGGACTGCGTCCGACACCACGCCGCCTTATAAATACACGATCCCAGGTAAGTACTGGGGAAAATAAAGGTCTTTCAGCATAGTAAAGCACTTGACCAACGCTCAGGAATAGACTGACATGTTGACTGTAATAGAGTACTTCAAAAACAAGTTCACTGTGCCAGGATACAAACTCAGAGGTTTTTACCGACCCACAGCATTGTTCACTGATCCATGATGATTTACAGTCTGCAGTAGGCATCGGTGTTGTTAGAAGAAGGATAAAGCTGGTGCTGCTCACCACAGCACGCTAACAATAAAATCCGGGAGAAGAAAAACGAAGTAAAAGCGCGCTACGGAACCCAGGACAAAGGTTGTATTTTACCACTCTGTTTTGTTAAGCTTAAAAGCTTCCAGCTTTCATCTTGTAATGATGGTAATGCTACTAACGCTGCTGTGTCAGAAGCAGCCAGGTTCAAAGAAGTCTTAAAATTGTAAACAGGAGTACCACTCATCGAGTGATCAGCATGCAAGCTCTATTCACTGTGCTATTAAATGCATTACTTAAAAGAAGCAGAACAGGAGGAAAAAAAAGAAAAGGGAGAGGGGAATAAAGCTAACAATCTCAACCTAAAATGAAATCAGGAATTAAGCAAAGCGCTTGCCAAGAACTTTCCAATTTAGATTAAGGTTCCAAATCAACATGCGGTCCTAAATAATGAACTTGGTGCTCAAGAGCCACATAAAGGAAAGTATTTTGTAGAATTAATATTTACACAGTTTAGCAGCCACACCTGGAGTGCAGCACCAGTCTAAAACAAAGCTGTCCTCGGCTAAGATCATTACCTAAGATTACTGCATCCAGGATATTTATGACACAGCTCAACAATACCTGCACACCCACAACTGTGATGTTAGCTTCCATTAGATGGGATTCATTCACAAATTAAAGGGTGAGCGAGCTGATTCAAAACTAATGACAGAACTTTTAAGAACACAGACATCACACAGCACCCGACTGCTGTTTGTGATGTGCTACCATTAACAAGGAGAGAGCAGGCTGTTCTGATGGCTGGCAAAGAACAGCTCAATGCCCATGCGCTGCTGCTGCTTCTCATTTGTTGTCCAAAAGCCTTCTGAACTAACTAGTGTTAATCCAGCACCTTGCAGAACTCAGTCCTTCACTCACACAGATGTTATTTAAAAAATGAACTTGTTTTATATGAGCAATCTGTGAATTTGTCATATGGTGTTTTTCCAAGTTGTGTATTTAAAGCATTTTATTTCATGCAGTTCGTGAAATATCTTCAGGTACAGTTAGCTAAGCAGTGAAACAGTCAATTCAACGAGTTGCCAAAGCAGTATGTGCCTTGTTAGTGGAAAACAATTCAGTCAGCTCAGTGCTGTATTCTGTGCTTTCCTTGATTCGTTAGCCCTTTCAATTGGCCAGCTCCTTCTCATGAATGTCCTGAGCTCTTCTGCTGGGCCTGACATGAACTAGATAGCATAACATCTCAAAAAAATTAACAAGAATTCATATCTGCTATGCCAAACTGTGGCTTGCAAGCTATAACTTTCATATGCCTATACATACATTCAGCACCCTGCATCTGCACACAGGGTTAGTATCACAGTTAACAGGTTAGGTTTACATCTAAAGCGACTCTAATCACACAGTCTTATCACAGGTTAATACAGAAATGTCTTCAAAACAACCTTTTATTTCGAAAATGAAAAAGAGATCAAAAGAAGAAATGTGGACTCCAGAACACTGACAGCCTGCAGTGACCCTGTGCACAATGGTTTGAACGCGGCTCTTCCCAACGCTACTGGGATGTCACTTGCCCAGTGAGACATCCAAGAGCCCCCAGCAGCCAGGATCCTGGGTCAGCTGCTGCTCCTTTGCAGTCAAACACTGAGAATCTGAATGCTTATCATGTGCCCAACAGAAGTAGTCTTACTTTGGGATTGAGCTAATTTGGTAATTTAAACACAGATTCCATTAAAATGAACTGTGATTAAAGTACTGAAATACAGGGAAAATGTAATTGAGCAATTTTTTTTCTTTAGACTCTCAAGGGGTAGACATTTTAATTACACTCCATAAAGATAGTAGGACACATAACTATTATTCACTTAAGGCATCTCTATAGACATTGGTATTTTGCAGCTCAAAGAGTACACGAGTGATCTTTCTGCTGCCAAACATCAAAATGAAATTAAAAGGGAAGTAGCAGTAGCAACATTTCTCATGCACCACTTCTGGCAGGACTCTAACTTGAATGGCCATCAATACTGCTTTTCAGGACAGAAATGATTCATCCCTTTTCTTTGTCCCATAGTGCATGATGCACTGCATGCAAAGCACTTCAGGGACAGGCACTATACTGTTTAATACAATCACAGAATCGTTAAGGTTGGAAAATATCACTAAAATCATGAAGTCCAACCATCAATCCACAACCACTACGCTCACTAAGCCATGTCCCTCAGTGCCACATTTACACATTTCTTGAACACCTCCAGAGATGGTGACTTTACCACATCCATGGGCAGTCTGCTCTAACACCTCAACCCTTTTTTCGGAGAAGATATCATTCCTAATGTCCAACCAAGAGTCTGCTGGCACAACTTACCGCCATTACCTCTCATCCTATTACTGTTACCAAGGAGAAGAGTCCAACCCCAATCTCGCCACAACCTCCTTTCAGGGAGCTGTAGAGATCTCTGCTGAGCCTCCTCCTCTTTATACCCTTCACCAGTTTCCAGTTCCCTCCAGACCCCTCACCAGCGTTGCTGTCCTTCTCTGGACACACTCCAGGGCCTCAATGTCTTTCTCGCAGTGAGAGGCCCAAAATTGGATGCAGTACTCGAGATGCAACCTCACCAGTGCTGAGTACAGAGGGACAATTACTTTCCTGCTCCTGCTGGCTGCACTAGTTCTGATACAGGCCCAGAATGCCATTGACCTTCTTGGCCACCTGAGCATACTGCTGGCTCACGTCCCACTGGTGTTTGCATGCAGGTAGTACTGTACACCATGCACAAACAGAGCTGTGAGACAGTTTTTCAGTTAGGCCACAGGAGTATATTCCAAGCACAAAATTCTTTTCATTTTTCATTTCAGGTATCACAGTCAAGACTTAGAGCACTAGGCCAGGTGAGTCTCTTTGTTGGTGGCAATTAAAGTGGTAAGTTGAGCAGCTATATAGATGGGGGAAGCCATCCTTTCTAGGACGTGGGCTGGAAAGGCTCTGCTCTCAAAGGCTCTGCAGCTGCTCCCAACCAGGCACTGTGATGCCAGACACACTCCTGGCTGCCAGATTCCTAGGGCTCCCACCCACAGGCAGCCCCTGCCCCCGGCAGGATGTTCTTTTCCTAAACAAGGTAATGTAAAGAAAGAATAATTGTTCATAGGTAAAATCTTGTAGGTGGTCTTAACATGTGAAATACTTAGGAGGAAACGCTCTGCCTTACCAAAGGGGCAAAAGCTCCTGAATCTTTAGTGGCACTGGTGGAAAAGTAATTGCTGTCAATTTTAATAAACCCAACATGATTTCAGCTCAGTATCTCCGAAATATGAAACTGACATTTCATTTATTATGTGATACTTAACATCCATAGCAGTTTTTTTTAAATTATTCTCACTACCTCAGAACTCATAAATACCCAAGTATGATTGAAACAGAGCTTACAGAGTTTGTGTTACTCACATTTCTTAACTCATACCATATTTTGCATTTATAGGTATCCATACCTTAGAAGCCAATGAAAATCAAAGCAGTAGTCCAGTGCCAGAAAAAACATACCTGCAGGAAGAGATAGGCTCAAATCTAATGACTGCAAGGGCAGTCTGTTTGGTTCACTCAGGCCAGCTGTGCTGGCAATGTGTTTACATGTCCTTATCAGGCCTGAAGCCATGTGTTGGTTTTTTTTTGTTTTGTTTTCTTTTTTTACTATTAACCTTCCTCTTCAAAGAGATACACCAGCATTGATTGCAATCTGAGAAAACAAAGCACTTGCAATGCATCCTTTCAGTTGCCTTTCATCCAAGCACTCTGCAGTAATACCCCCACATTAGACTTATTGCCTAAATAGGTAAAGCAAGGGCCGAGCTGGGGAGGCAGCCCAGCAGCAAGACACAGCAAGTCAGATAAAGTAGTCCAGGTCTCAGCCAGCCTTGTCACTGCCACAGACAGACCCCATCAGCAGAGGGGGTAGAAAAACATCCCACCGAGCCACCCTGCCTTTGGGCACTGCTATTTTAACTGGAAAATCCTAAGGTTCCTATGAGTGAACCATGAGAACCCTGCTTCCTATTACCCCCCCATTGCTACTTGAAACACTGGAGAATTAAACGCTGGAGTCAAAAATAACCCAGGTTTATTCTCATGATTAGTCTGATGTTTGAAAACTTTAATTTGTACACAATAAATATTGTACCCTTTTTCAAATCCTCCTCAGACTCACTGCTGCAATTCAGTTCAACCTCAGATTCTTCTCCCTCCAAGTGTCTGACAGCCAGTGCTGGCACCTGCTGTAGCAGAAATTATTTGGAAGAAAGGGATGAATGTGAAAACAGACAGCACTGCAGCGACTTTTCCAGACACAACTCTGGCTGAGCCTACAATGCCATAACACACACTTCAAACAGCACGAACTAATCTACACTCTATTTTCAAAAACTCGCGCCATTCATCTTTGAGGGAAAATACTCAACTGCACCAAAACCCCAAAAGTTGACAGCTGCATTTGTTTCATTTTGAGGAGAGACAGCTGTACTTCTTGTTCAGTGAAGCACTCCTCTTATTCTCCTGATATCGTGTGTTAGTCGAAAACCAAAACCCACAGAGCTACTTAAAGCAACTCCACTATTTTTCAAAAATTATTTTCCACAGAAAATTACGAGAAGGACAGAAAACAAAACTGCACTTCAGTTAGAAATTCAAGTTTCGCTCCTCCATTCTTTCTAGAGACCAGATGTCATTTGGGCTACAGAAATCATACTCCGATCTCCCAAGGAGAAGGAAATCGTAAGAAACACAGTAAAAAAGCATCATGGGACTGGAACTGGAAGACCACTACTCCTGGAGAAAAAGAGCAAGTGTATTTGTGACTGCACTATTCATCTTCTCCCTCCTTTGGGAGATTTTTTATTACTAAGATCTGAATGGAAAGCAACTAGCAAAAGCTGCTGCTGTTAAACTATATTTGTTTACATCACCAGCCAACACAACTAGCTCACAAGTTCACAGAATGCACAGGAAAAAAACAGGCAGAGTTTGCTATCAAATGCACATTTTTACAGTAGATGGTGATGGATACGACAGGAAAGTAGCTAGCTCATTTCTTCTGGCAAAATTACTTTTGAAACAAAACTCGTGGCCCTCCATTTTGTGTGCTGTGGTATATATACTTCTATACGTTGGAAAGGGCTTTGCTTCTCATGGGGAAATGACCTTTTCTCTTGTTTTATAGGGTCAAATTTTCATCTCACTTCATAATTTGAAGACAATTTAACTTTACAAAAATATAGCTGTCCTGGCTAAAAGTCATAAAGGGTAATATCAAGTGCTCTTTGAGATAGCAGTGGGAGGTGATTTCATTCTCTGGAAACTTGAAACTTTATAGTCCTATATCTTACTTGAACAGAATTCTGGAGCTCCTCCCTTCAGCCGAGGCATTTTTAGTACCTACGTTTGAGACACAATCCACTGTAGTATCCAAAATTATATCTGATTGCTGTTACTCTCTCCCTCATTAAAATATATACAAAATGTATACACGTGCTTTTTTTTTTTTCTAATCAGCTTTGCTGAGGAAAAAAAGAGACAACTCTCTCTCATATATATATTTTTTTAATTAAGGTTCAAGCAAAATGGAAATTGAAAAACTAACGTGTAGAGAAATTTGGAGTAGAATCATTTGCTGTTCTTCAGTGATAAAGAGAAGGGCAAACAGGGAAAGAGATCGTAATGCAAGAAGCAGCAACATGAATTATATCCATCAACCTCAAAGAAGAGACATAGGGCATTTCCACTGAAAAAGTAATAGTGACAGATACCAGTTTGTAAGGAATAGGTCAAGGAGCATTACATAGGCAAGTTAAGTGACAGAACTCCTATTTGCTGCCAAAGGATTAGGCTACACTTTGGCTATGGGACAGAATCTCGTACAAGGGGGCACAGCTCAGCATGACTTGCTATATTTGTTCAGCAATGTCTTTGTCACCCTCCACACCCTCTCCACAAAACAAACAAATAAATAAATAAAAATAAAAAAATGAAAAGCAAACAAAACACCAACAAAGCAAACAAAAAAACCAACAAAAACAAACAAAACAGAAAAAAAACAAACAATCAAACAAACAAAAACTCTCTTACTATGAAGGCAACCAAAGCCTGTCACAGGTTGCCCAGAGAGGTTGTGGAGTTGCCATTTGCCATCCTTGGCCATACTCAAAACCCAACTGTACAGGATCCTGGGCAACCTGCTCTGGTGACCGTGCTTTGGGCAGTGGGCAGGACCAGACGATCTCCAGAGGTGTCTTTCAAACACTAATCATTCTATGATTGTATTTTTTCCATTTCCCTCTTTTTAAAATATACTGTAAAGCTTTATTTTTCTTATTTCTGGAATGGAGGCAGATTTAGTTCGTCCATGAGAAGCAGGTGTTTTCAAAGAGTACTGACAAGTACCTCTGTTTTGTTCTTTATTCAGTGGATATGGCTGTAAAATAAGCTAATTTGCAGATATTCCCAATCTGCACTTCCACACAAATAATACATCTATTATAGTTCATATCCCAGTTCAAGGGAGAAGGCTGTACTGTTGGAGGGGTGGGTGGTTGTATTTTTTAATCAAGAACTTAGAAAATATTGTAAGAAAGCAAAAGGAGCATCTGAAAAACTCTGCAGACAGACCAACAGACAAAATAATACTGAGTCCTACTAAACTATGCGACTGACGAAGGAGCCAGACTGCAAAGTGGAAAATAAAATCAGAGCCAACCAAGGAGGAAGCCAACTGAGGTTGGCTACCTTCCACCATCAAATGTCAGGTGGGAGTTAACAGGATACATTTTAATAGCTTCCCATCCAAATCTGAGTGACAATTATTCCTGGTAAACTGGTACATAAAGCCAAGTCAAAGGAGCAGACATATGGTTGCTTTTCTGATGAATGGCCTGACAGGAGGGTTGGGAAAACCCTACCTGCCAAAGACACAGAGATGTAGTTTATATCGATGTTTAATGTCCAAGCAGCCCCACAGAGAAGCTGAAGCACAGTCACTCTAGGTGTTTTCTAGAGAGGATATTTGCCTCATAAAAGAGTTTCCAAGTTGTATGACCTTGGATTATCTTAATTTGGCACTGGTTGAAACTGAATTTTATCTCCACACAGAAACAGAGTTGCATGCCCCAAGTGACATGTTACAGAAAAGAGTCTGCTGAATTGACAAAAACTGCAGAAGTTTCCAAGATTAATGGAGTCTTTTCAGAATTCAGGCCAATAACTTAAGAAGGAGAAGAAAAACAAAGAAATAACATGGGGAAGCACGAGAGAACCGTCTAGAATTGGAAGGCTGACATTTTTCATTTTGGGGGAGGAGGAAAAGGAAATGAGATGGAAGAGGTACCAAAAACAAGGTAAAGAACAGAAAAGACAGAACAGAAAAGTCTGCTTACTTTTTTAAAAATAAATAATACTTTTTAATCATCAGTACAAAATAATCATGCTAGCATAACTGTCAGAAAAGGCAGAAAATAAGACATGGAAAGAAGAAATTCATAAACCTATTGGCATTAAATGAAAGTCTGCAACTAATACAAACTGTTAAAAAACTCTTGAAGCTCACAATGGATATATGACTTTGGAGACATAGCACATTTTGGCATGTTTTAAATAAAACCTTTTAAGCTATTTGCTACATTCAGATAGAGTATATGCATGCTAGCACTGCGTTCAATCCCCACAAAATACAAAATACACAAATGTAAGTCTTATATCAGATAAAAATATATGAAAATGATGATCAGAAATACACATTTGAGTAAGTAAACATCACAGAAATTCAGACAAGTCGACTTCAGGCTTATAGGTAGAATATCTAGTTGATAGTTATGGCTTTAAGTTGCTTTTCTTAGGTTATTATTTTGCAATTGAGTCAAAGTACTAATACCATCTTGCAAAAATCTTTGGAATACTGAAAAATGTGAAAGCTAGCCCTTAAGTTACTGATGTAATTTTAGGTAACATGTAGGTTTTATGAGTAACCTTAAATAGTACATAACGCTGATGATAAAATTCTAGCAATGCACAAAATTCAGCACAGGAAACACGGAAGGGATGAGGCTGAAGCTTACTCAACATGCCCTCAGCCACCAAGAAATATCTGAGAAGACTAAAGACAAACTAACAAAACTGTTCCTGAAAGATGATCGTTTCATTGTTGCTTTTGTATAAACTATTCAGTAAATAGCTAACACTGAACAAACTTCACCTTACCCTTTCATTAGGAGGAGTCACATGGAGTGTGGGACAAAGAGAATGGACCTATTGAAGGACCTATTTTACTCACCTATGCTATGCCCAACATGGATATAAATCCCTTACAAAGGGTGCAATTTCAATTAACATCACTAGCTTGTGAAAGCCAACTAATTGTTCTCCACTGCTTTTTATATCCTTGGTATTCAAAACACTGACAGTTCAGCACTTTCCTTAGTCCAGGCTATATTTACAATGACAAACAGCAGTATGTAATAATTCACAGAACAAATTTGTGCTGTAAGGAAGTGCATGGCTTTCAAGGTGTTTCTTTTCTTTTTTCTAACCACTCCAGTGGGTTAAATATTAAAAATAAAATGCTGCAAGTTTACATTGCCTTCTAAGACGCTATGAGCTTATCCCACTGTGTAATTTCATGCTCTTCTGGGACTCAGTGCATCCCCACCAGCCCTCAGTTCAGCTTCATAAAAAAGCTTCACTCAAACCCAAGAGATCCAGCTGACAGAGGTACTTACCAATAGCCTGGGCAAGGGCTATAACAACTTCCTGACATGTTGTGACTTCGGTGACTCCACAGACAATTCTCTGCACTCCATCCACCCATACTTTGAGCTCCATGGTTCACCAGATCATCCAAGAGCCATGAATGCAACTCAGTCAAGTCATGCTTGCAGCTACAGCACTGATAATGCAGCGGTCTTTTCTCAGGAGCTAGAAGAGAAAAAAAAACGATGCTTGTAAGGAGGCAATACTAGTTTATAAAGTGAATAAATTCAGGTTAGCATCTATTGGGTAGAAGATGAACATAGTCTCTAATCTCATTTCTTTAACCTAGTAACAGAGAACCAGCATCTCATGCTTTGGCGACCTCTACCCATGATGTTCTTTTAGGCTTATCAGAAGTTTAATTACAGTTTGTCTCCTAATATTTTAAATTCTTACAAAAAGAGCACCAAGGGAAAGGGTATCAAATGAACAACTCCAAAGTAAACCCATCACAGTTTTCAGTGAGCAGTGCCCCATCCTTTTTATATTGCCTGGATGCCTCACAGGATCAATTAGAGATGTTTTCAAGCGTCAGGGTGCAATTCCTAGCAGGTGGTGGCAAAGCAAAACATGGGGAAAACATTTTTAATTACATCTGTCCTTGAGAGTCCAACCTTGGTCTCCATACAGAAGTAGCTGAAGGTTCCTGGCACTAGCATGCAGCACCAATACAGGAAAATCCAGGAAGGAAAGCATGCAGAAAAGGACTGCTTCTTTCTCTCTCCAGAGCAAGGAAGTACAGTGGGAAAAATGCTGCCTAAGTGCTTCCACTTCTGCCAACCTTGTGCTGTTTCTGTTAAGATAGACCTGTGGCTCAAATGTTATCCTAGGTTTTCTTTCTGCTTTTCCTCTGCATTAGCAAATCCTCTGGATCATGGCTCACAAGTCAGTTTCTAGCTAGAACCACTGAGTTTCAAAACTTTCAAGTAAAATGGTCTGCTAAAAATAAACAAAACCCTCCCTCCCAAATGAAAAATAACAATTAAGAAGACATCAACACCAGTGACTTTTTTTTTTTTTTTTTTTTAAAGAAAACTGAAGAGATAGCTGGGTTATTTAAGCAGATTGCGTAAAAATAAGCAATGATAATACAGTAAAGGATGCTCATGCAATCAGGTTATCCCATATGGATAAAATGAAATGACTAAAGTCAATATTTTTGAAGAGTTAGGTACCAGAGAAATGGACTACACAGAAACAGAACACAAGAAATTGGAAAGTTGTTTGCAGGCCACTAACGAAAATAAGCATGCTAGGGTTACACAATGAAAATGGAATCTGATGATGCTGATGGATTTAACAGGGTCACACCTGGAGGCAAACATTTAACCTAGGTCATTTTACAGTCTAATCAGAACTGTTTTCTCCTGATGAAGTTGACATCTCTTTCTGCATGAAAAAGACACACTGGTACAGCCCCCCCAAGCTACAAAAGAAAGCTTATTTCCCTTCTACAGCCACCTCCTGCACTCAGCTGCCAGCCATATCAATGCATTGTCCAGAAGCCCTCCTGATGGTCCTCTGACAAGCTGTGACATTCAACAGCCACACACCTCAAAGCATGACAAGTTTTAGTGCAGAAGCACTAAACTGTGCTGTAAAGTAGGTCCTGCAGCACACCAAAATTCCTGTCCAGAATTACTCATTCAGAAAACATAAGAAACTAATCCCAAGTGTTTAGGCCAGATTTCAAATATGCTTGTGTAATTCATCAATAAAAATGTGATAACTTTTAAGAATAGCAGTGTATACACAAATTCCTTATTTTGAGATCTTAATAAGCACCTGAAAAAACCCAAACAGGTCAAGAGTTTAAACAAACATTTTCCCTAACAGAGTGGCATACTTCAAAGAAAACTACCATCCACACAAGTGCTACCAGAGTCCACAGAAACACAGGAACTCTTCAGGCAGGTAAAGCCAACTAAATGCCTCAATAAACGTGGGGAGAAAGACTTTATCTGCCTGCAATATAGCAGTGACTGAGAAAACACCCAGGAGACCCCACTAAGGACCTCTGTTGTTTATTCCTGGTTAAGCTCTATTCACAAATAAACAGCCCTCACATTCCAAAGCCCAACTGTAAGGAACTTTATTAATTAACTTCGTATCTTGCTGAGAGTTGACCAGTTCAGATTTACTGGCACCAAACAAGCTGTCTCCCCATGTGACAACGCACACGTCAGCAAAGAATCTGACAGCTCTAATTGTTTTTCTGTCCGTCACCATGCAGAGTATTATCTCAATTTAGCAAGCCAGCAAGTGCATTCCCCCCCAGTCAGCACACAGAGCACAGCCTGGCATTCAGCGCAGATCGGTTTTAGTCATCTGTTTTCCTAACATCCACCTTTAAAAAAAACTGAGGAGAGTCATCATTTAATAATGAAATATTTGCTGACGCTTCCCATTTTGAAAACAGCGTTCACCAAAGCAGCAAGTGGTCTGAACAAAGCATCTCTGAAACAGTCCAAGCTTAGGGGAAACATTCCCATTATTTTCCTTAAAGGGCAAACCATTTAAATGGACTAAATGGCAACGGTGAAACACCAAAAGCTGCCTGCTGTGTCAGTTTCTGTAGGAAAGATGATGGGTGCGTAGGATTGAAGGGCTGCACGCCCCACTGGCACTAGAGGGAACCTCTCCCAGATCTCTCAGTCACTAAAACTGAAAACATGCAGACTTTAGAAACGTATGATTCGTGTGCTGGAATCACTCTGTCTCCTTCAAGTTTCTAAACAAAGCCCATTGATAGTACAGCAACAAGCTAGGGTTAGTCTGGTTACTAAGACCACGCAGTAAGTTTATGCAAGTCCAAAAAACTAAAGCTTTGGCTGTACACCTCTCTCTGCTTCCCAATCACAACTCCATACATCCTTTCTACTAGCATTTCTTTTTCCTTCGCCCATCTCTTGTTCTTTATTTGTGGACAGTTAACTCGTGTACCATTAATAGCTTCTTTTCTTTTCTGCCGAGGTCTCTTCTGACAGCCCCAAAGAAACTGTTCAACCCAAAGCTGATGTCCAAAACGTACGTCACCTTTCTGCAATAGAGAAAGCAAAATAATCCTCACCTCTAATAGCACACAAACTTCTCATTAAAGCCAAAGGAAAGGGTGGGGAAAAGAAACTCACTCGAGATTTCACAATCCCCTAAGTTCAAAACGAGTTCATCTTACACATAATATCTTATTTTAGCAGTGACGGGGAATAGGAATGGAAAGCTAATTTACTGAGAAGAGGCACAAAGCCAACGCCTGTCTCCTGAGCACAGCTTTCACCGCTCCCTCTGTCTTCTAGTCACCAGCTTCCCAGTGACAGGTATTTCTGGTTGGAACCAAGCATCTGAAACTGGACAGCCCCCAGCTGCAGCCCACAGCCCTCTCCCCCACGCTTTTTGTTCTGTCGCCTTGCCTGCAGCCCCTCATCTATGTTGTGTGCTGTGCATTTAGCTAAGTTCCCTACATTCTTCCCCTGTCCTACTTGGCTCAGATCTTGCTCTTTCAGACATTTGTCCAGTTTTTGAAAGAAAACAAACTCCATCATATATATATATTTATATATCACACATCCTGGCTGTGCCTTCACAGCTGGCTCACAAATAACAGAAAGGCTGCTCCTTCAACTGAAGACAGACAGAACCGTCAAACTGCAATGGGCTTTTCTTCTTAAAAACACATAGTCCAAGCTGATGCCCTTATCATAAGCATCAAATCACAAAAACCCTCCAAACTAGGATAAAGATGATTGATTTCACCCCATTTCTGATTTTTACAAGGTTCACAACATCTGAAAGTAGTATGCTAATCAAATCAAGGCTAAAATTCTGCTTCAACTGGAATGAACTGCAGAATTTTGACCAAAGCACTCTAGTAACTTTCTGGTTCCCCCAGCAAACAATCAGCATGCTATTCAATATACCTTCATTCACAAATGTCTATCATCAAAATTGTTCAGAGTTTGCTGCTTTTGTCTTTGCTTCTCATTCTATGCATTATGGCCAAGTTGAGCTCCTTGCCTTTCCCTATTACAATCCCATCTGGGGCTCTGGTCAGATGGACAGCTTGTTAGTTGGATGCTATTCAGAACTATTCATAACAACAGTTAGTGCAAGCAAGGATTAACTGAGAGGAAAAGAAAAAAATCAATTAAGTACAAATAAGTCAGTTCAGATACGCCCCAAAAAGTTTATAATCATGTAGAAGAGCACAGCCTTACCCTGCTGTGACAGGGAGACATCTGACAGACCTACCCTCCCATACAAATTCTGGTATGGAACAACAAAGTAACATCTTCCAGCTGAATATGACTGCAAATAGAGTTGGCTACAGGAAACAAGCTAACTAGCATTTACTGAAAAGCTTCTTCCCAAGGAGTGATGAACAAAACTCACCGCTTCCTACCAATCATCAGGAAACTCCCCACATGACAGGTTCAAAACAAAAAGCCACATGGGCACGTTTCATTAGAAAGGAACACACTGTGGTTTTGAAATGAGTGCACAACTTTCTTGAAAAAGAAGATGTTTGTAGAGAAGCAGCATCCAATTCTTTCAGTGGGACGGAGCATTCCCACTTGTGGAGTGCTATTCTTTGGATGCACCAGAAGAGTGCTCAGAGATAATAAGCACTGCTTAGAACAAACAAACCAAAGGTCCCACAACCATGAAGATGACAACACTGAGTACAAGCTGAAGACTATGTGTAAGCAGCAAGGAATTTGCCTCACATGAGACTGGCAGAAAGATGGTCTAACACATGACTGTGCAGAGCAGACCAACCCTGAGATGCCACAAGTGTTATCCAAGTCACTGTACACAGCGTGACAGATCAGACAGCACTAATATGCAAGTTCATATGAATTCTGAACTACAAGAGATTGTTTCAAGCAACAGCAGCCACTGGAAATCTTGCCTCCAGATAACCTAGAACTCCAAAAATTAGTTTCCCAGACAATTTCTAGTTGACCGGCATCCAAGAACTCTCAACAGTCTGGCTCAGGAGCTGTTGGTTCCTTTGCGGTTTCTCCTTGTGCACTGCAGCTAACAGTACAATGAAACAGCACGGAAAAGAAAGTGTTCTGAAGCAGAGGAAGTTACAAGTTGATATTTTCCTTAATTACAGACCAACCCTCATGTCTCCCTCACAGCATACGCACAAACAAAAAGCT